ACACCACAGGGCAGGCAGGGCTGCTCCATCTCACAGCTGAATGGCAGAGACAGGCCACAGCAACTGTAAACAGGCAACCGGAAGAAACTGAGATCAGCACAGTCTCAGAAGTGAAGACCAACCATTCTTTTTGGAAACTCAATCACGAACCTTAATAAAGTTCAAATCTTTTGACCCAATAATTCTGCTCCTGGGAGTTTATCTTAAGGAAATAACCCAATATACAAAAGAGCTTTTTACACAAAGGTGTTCATGAGAGTATTATCTATAAAGGCAAAACAGTCAAAAACTGCAATGTCCAACAATAAGAGCAGAATTTTAAAATTCAAGTAAACATATATAAAAGAATATTATGCAGCAATTTTAAATCATGTTTGTAAAGAAAATACTCATAATGTAATATAAAGAGAATGACCAGGTTATCAAATTGAATATATATTATTAACACAGTTATGTGAGAAGAAATTTGCACAGGAAAAGACTGGAAGGATACAAGCCAAAATGTTAACAGTGGAAAGCTTCATATGGCAAGACTATGTATGGGTAATTGTTTTTCTTCTTTTGACTTTTCTGTACTTTCCAAATTTTCTTACAATAAGCAGGTATTACTTGTAAAAGGGGAAAATTACATTTTTTGCTATAAAATAGTATCTAAATAATTAAAATTATTTCTAAATTACAGGTGCTAAGAAAATTACAAACAATGTATCAATTCCTGTATGCAAAGATTAGCCTAAGAATATCCTAATTAGGAAAGTGAATTTGCAATATGTATCCATGTGGGTATACCTACATTCACACAGGAAGTAGGATTTAACAGAGGACTTCTAACCACACAGGTGGCCCAAGCTTCCACCACCTGTCACGGTAATTTCACATACTCCAAACAAGCAGTGGGCTTGCCATGCAAACACAGCTTCACACAAGTCTCCTAGCCTTCTCTCCTAGCCAGACTGTAGCTCCTAGGCACTTCTTAAATAGGAATCCTGCCCCCCTCACCCCACCCCCGCCCCACCACCAAGAGAACTAGAACATAAAATATAAACTGATAAATTTTTTTCTTTTTTGTTTAAGTGCTCTGATGACCTCTTTTTGTGTGTGTGAGGAAGATTGGCCCTGAGCTAACATCTGTTGCCAATTTTACTCTTTTTGCATGAGGAAGATTGTCCCTGAGCTAACATCCATGCCAACTTCCTCCATTTTTGTTCATGGGATGCTACCACAGCATGGCTTCATAAGCAGTATGCTCGTCCGCACCTGGGATCTGAACACGCAAACCCCGGGGTGTCAAAGCAGAGCTCGCAAACTTAACCACTACACCACCAGGCCGGCCCTCATAAACCAACAAGTTTTTTTAGGTGAAGGTATGGTTAACTGTGTACTGACTTTTGTCTTGCCTTAAAACAAGATTTAAAGCCAAGGAAAAATGCTTTAACCCCTTCACTATTTAAGATATCTAAAGCAAGACTCCTTTCCATTAACCTAGAGAATCAGTAAAATCAGTGAGAAACTAAGATGTTAGCATTTTTAGTGGCCCTGGGATAAGAAAAGACTAAAGTCAGAAAACATAAGAACAGCAAATCAACTAAGGGGGTGGGCACCAGCCTCCTGCTCACCTCCATCTAAGACTACAGCTTTACCCAGCTGCTGGGGCAGGGACTGAGGATCAGCTCTTTCATCCTACACCATAAGTAACTTCTACCAACTCTGTGGGTAAAGAAAAATGAGAAGAGCAAGCAAAGAATAAAAATGATGAGCCGAGTCCACAGGGATCCACCTCTAGAGAAGGCCAGGTACTTACACCTCCTTTATTTTACCACTGGTTATTTCCCAAAGATATTGGGAAGCTAAAACCATTGTATGCCCAGCTCTGATGACTAATATTTAACACTTGACATCTTCTTTTAAGAATGGGCACATTAGTGAATTCGATCATCCCTGTTGAAGGAATGGGACAAGTCAATTCCTTTTTTCAAGAATTGACTCTCCCAACCCACCCTTCCCCTTTAAACACCACTCTCTACACAGTGCTGGCTCTCAGTGCTTCCCAGACTTTCACATGCACTGAGCACCTCAGGATCTTGTTCGGATGCAGGTCCTGATATAGCAGGGCTAGGCAATGCAGAGACTAATTAAATCTCAATCTCTGAGGGTGAGACCAGGCAGCAGTAAGGCTTCCCAGGTGACCCCCATGTGCAGCCAAGATTGCACACAGCGCTAGAAGATTTGGAAAGGCCACCAGCTCAATCTAACTCCTGGCTACTCTGCGTGTGCCCCCTGCACCAGCAACACCAGCACGTCAACACTGGCCTCAGAGTTGTTGTGAAGACTGACAGAGGTAATACAGGTAAAGTACACAGTAAGTTCTCTAAAATATTAGCCATGGTTATTATTTTACTACTAGTAGTAGTATGATTATTATTCAGGCTGATGCAACTGAGAGGAGGCCAAATTTGTAAGGAAACAGAGTTCTTGGGAAAACTTTGAGTTAAAAGAAGATTAAGAAAATATGGGTTGGGGAAGAGCTTTGAGAGGGTAGCTGAGAGCATGTGCGTGGGGAGGTGATGCAGGGCCCTGTGCACTGCCCACTACTAGGGTGGTAACAGTCATCACAACAGCTGCCATTTATTTGGGCCTTAATTAATGCACCAGGCACTGTCCTAACTACCTCAAATTCTCCAGGCAAAACCTAGGGGGTTTCATTACTCAGAGTCTACTGTCCCAAGGCCCCAGACTCAGGGCAGCCTTGGATCCTGATGAAGTGGGGGCTTTCTTTCCCTCAGGGCAGAGGAGTTGCAGAGCACCCCAAAGAGTGGTGAGGACTGGACACAAGTATCTAACTGTGAGCCAAAGTGGACCAGCACCAGGCTCAGGATGGTGAGGAAACTGTGCCTACAATCCCTCCCCCGCCACCTCCACTCCCTGGTCAGGTCCCCCTAAAGGGCTAACTGCCCAAGAGGGTACTGGCACTAAGGCAGGAGGCTCAGCAGCCAGGCAAAGGAGGCGACAACTGCAGGAGCTTTTCAGCCCTCAGTGGGCAATGACACAGCTGGGGAGCATGGGGCCTAGTCCAATCTACATTTTGAATCCTGTGTAGCTCTTCCTCAGGTTCTTTTTGTCCCATCCTATCCTCCTTCCCTTTTCTCATTCTCTCTTCCTCTCAGAACTGCTTTTAAAAGCTTCCTCATGAGCAAGCTGTGATGGCCTAGTGGTTAAAGTTCAGCACACTCCGCTTTGGCAGCCCAGGTTTGGTTCCCAGGCGCAGAAACACACCACTCATCTGTCAGTAGCCATGCTATAGCAGCAGCTCACATAGAAGAACTAGAAGGACTTGCAACTAGAATACACAACTATGTACTGGGGCTGTGGGGAGGGAAAACAAACAAATAAACAAACATAAATAAATAAATAAAAGCTTCTTCCCATGTACCTCAATGCCTCTCTCCCTCCAGCTGTCTCCCAGGGAGTAGGGAAGAGAGAGTGAAGGGTGGTGCACCTGGCCACTTCACAGAGGTACTTCCTGTCATGGCCCTGCATGCCCAGAGGGGGAGATGACATTTCATGAAGTAACAGCTCATGTGACTGAAACAGCTGAAGTGTACCACATAAGGGAAGATCGGGCCAGCCAGGCTGGAGTCTGAAGATGGTTCTAGAGAGCTCAGCTTCATGTACTATTCTGAATTGACATTTAAATAGCAATTTCACTCATTTTCAATGGGCCATGATCATCCTAGGAGGACCTTCCCCAGCACAGGCCCCAGGATGGAGGCTCTCATGTTACAGATGCAGATACTGAGAGGTCTAAGGAGTTTGCTCAAAGGTCGGAGCACACGGAGCAGCAAAGACTGGATCAGGCAACCTGACTCCAGACTGCGACTCCACATCAGAAACCGCCAAGGTCTGGAAAGCATCATGTTCTGTGTTCAGCATCTCACATATGTTGTCTCGTTTTTCCTCAGAGCAACACTGTGAGAGCTGCACATGACTATTTTTATTTACAAATGAGCAAAGACAAACAGAAAGGAGCTCACTGACTGTCCCGGGGCAGAGCCCTAGTCAGTGGAGAACGCAGAGTCCAAGTCAAGTCTATGTGGCTCCCCAGCCTGAGCCGCAACCTCTCTCCAGACACCCCAACAACCTGACCTGCTCTCTCCACAAAACTGGAAAAGCTGCAAACTTTTAGGACTCACAAGACCAGAGAATATGGTCACTTCTTGTGATTATTTTACCACCTTTCAATTTTAAAAAACCCCTCTTTATGTAAAAGTGTTTTCCCTGGGTTCAACTTCACAGCCTCCATTTTACAAGTGAAGAGCCAGAGGCCCAGAAGGATTAAGTGGCTTCCTGGGATATTAAGTGAAGCAGACAAAGAACCAGGACCCAAATTCAAAAGCCCCTGTGTCTCAGGCCATGGCTCTGGGGCACCAGCCAGACTGAGAGGTTCCCTGCAACACGTGCAACTGGTAGCCAGGGGTCCTATCACTGTCAAACAGTGATACCAGGCTTCTCCATGAACTCATTTATAGGAGAAAGATTCTAACTGCAAGGTTAGTTCAGCAGAGTTGCTACCCCACTACTATTTGCACACAAATAACTCTGAGGAATATGAGGAGGGAGAGGTTAATCATCAGCAATAACTTTATTCTCTCAGAGAGTCTTCCCAGTTATGTAAAGAAAAATCACATCCCCTGTACCTTGCCCTGCAAATGACACATTTCCTTTAGAGAAGAGACTTTCAAGATATTGGGTGTGCCCTATTACTCAAGAGAAGCAAAATCATAAGATGTCAAATGCTTCTTCAAATTCCTCTTTAGAGAGAAGGAATACAAGCTGTTATTTTGTGAAAATCAGTCACCATGGCAGCCTGAGCCCCTTGACTCTGTATGGCCTTCAGTTCATAAATGCAAATGTACATTCATTTAATACAGCTGTTTGGTATTTTATTACCTATCAACTAAGAGTTAAAATAAACTTTACATTTAAGTGTGGAGGATTCTCACCTGTGAAAGCATTTGTGGCCTGAAAACCAGCTTCCTGCATACTGCTCCCCAGACAAGCCTGTGCTCCAACTCTTAAGCTGTCCTGTCAAGAGGAAACCACCTGGACGAGGCCTCAGGTCACTTCCATCTTAGCTTGTCGGAGTCCATCGCTCTGCCCTGTCCAGCTTTTGGTAGCATCTGATGCCCACCTGCCCTGCTCCCAGACCCTGAGAGCAGGCAGTACCTGGGACGGCACCCAGTCCCACAACGTGCACACTTGGGGCACACAGTCACGTCAGCCGTCCAGCCAGAGAGTGGAGGCCATGGTGAGCCGAGGAGTGGAGGAAGCTGTCCCGCTGAGACCTGCTTTCCCACCTTAGAGTGAGGGCCTCCTCAGCCACTTGGCAGCCAGCATCCTCCACGGATCTCAGTCACTCCAAGGGAGTTCAGTATGGTCTGATCCGTTGTTCCCTGTGCTTCGCCTCTCCACTTGCTGAAATTAAAAAGAAAGAGATCACTTTCCTGATGACCTGTAGGAACATTAAATTCAGTAGACCCAGAGAGGCCAAAAAAGAAAAAGAAAAAGCTACCCAGAGCTGTGCTCATGACCACGTTGTGGGCACTGGGGGAGCTCTGGGCAGGGGAGGGCTATGGTGCCTTTTCCTGAGTGCCTGTGAAGGGGCAGGAAGGGGGGCTTGGGAGTGGAGCCCACAAGACGGCATTCGCTCCTCCAAGCCTCTCTAAGAACAGCCACAAAGGTCACACAACATTCAAATGTCCTTCCCGAGATTACTCATAGTTCACAGACACCCTGAAGAAGAAACCCATTTCCCAAGCTGGTTCTTGAGGTCTTAGAAGTGGGGTCTGAGGTTCATATCCACTGCTGTCAGCACTCCAGGAAGGATTTGGGTTGAGCAGTCTTAAAAAGTGACTCAAGGGGGAAAATAAAGACCCATATTAATTTTTTAAAAAGAGTGGGGAAAAAAAGCAAATTTAATCTATAAACTGTTCCATATCTATTAAATAGTAATAAAAGCACTTTACAAAATTCTTTTCAGATATTTTAATGTTTCAGATATTTATATTATACAAGCAGCAACGTTAACAACAAGAATGTCAGAAGGCCAAAGGACCAGACTTTTAAAACACAATGCCAAATATGAATCTCCAGTATTGGAGAAAAGAAACCTTTTTTCCATTATCATGACTTCATCCTAATCAATTAATAACTAATTTTTAGAAAATGTAACCTTATTCCTCTTTTTCACCATCAAACTAGAGAAATGAAAAAGAAGTTAAGAAAACAGCGCATAACAGAAATGAGCCCTCTGTTAAAACACTCTTGCTGCTGTAAACATGAATATAAGGTAATAAAGTAAAACGTCACTAATATAGACTAACTATAAGGAAGATTTCATGTATTAATGAAGCACTTTAATTATATTAAGAAATTCAACTGCACTGCCTTCATGTACCTGCAGTAACAATCTCAGTTAATAAGGTATAGACAAGTAGGAGTCCTTAAGTTTAATGAATAGGTGAAAAATTCATTTTAATTAAAAATAATTGGGGCTGGCCCCGTGGCCGAGTGGTTAAGTTCGCGCGCTCCGCTGCAGGCGGCCCAGTGTTTCGTTAGTTCGAATCCTGGGCGCGGACATGGCACTGCTCATCAGACCACGCTGAGGCAGCGTCCCACATGCCACAACTAGAAGAACCCACAACAAAGAATACACAACTATGTACCGGGGGGTTTTGGGGAGAAAAAGGAAAAAATAAAATCTTTAAAAAATAATAATAATAATTTATGTACGTAGTTTTGAAGCACTTGAAAATATGAGAAAACTTTTTTCTCTGAATTTAAACATTTTATATAAAATGACCAACACATACAGTATCAGCATACCAAAGTCCCACACTAACTTCTAAAGTAAACTGATCACATGCACTATAGTTATCAATTTTAGGAAATGAAACTGCCAGAAAGAAAACAAAAGCCCAACTGCCCTAAAACCTTGATTTTCTTTGCCCTTTTCTACGATGTTTTCAATGCACAGAAATGCTAGACTTTATTTGTTCTCTTTCTCTGAACTCAGAGACAACCTGAAGTATGGTGAGGCTTTTGTTGTTTTATTGTGGGGTTTTTGTTTATATTATTTTGTTTCATTGCAAAAGGTATGCTATGTCTCTTTTTAAAAAAGCAAGCTATCCTATATTACATTTCAAATGGCTATGGGAAAGATTGAGGCAGATGTGGATAGAAACAGAAGAAACAACAAACTTTTTTTTTCTTTTTATGTCTTTATCACTGTCACCAATTCTTCTAAAAGACAGGTATGGCAACAGGTGTGTAACAGCCCATTTTGAGGTCTCAGGTATGGTCTTGGCCAGTATTTTTAGGGCATGATGTCTGTGGTTTCCAATAAAAGCCAGAGGGAAACAATTGTGTAATCTCATTAATAGATAACTTGTATATTCCTACATACTCTCTGAGTCTCCTTATATGCAATTTTCAAGTTAAAACAAAACTGTAACTGCCATAAAATGTTCTCTTCCTAACCACTCACAGTACAGATAAGATATACTTTCTAGAAATATATAAGAAAGAAGTGAAGATCCCCAGAACCTGTTCAGCGAGGGACCCGACCATCTGGAACAGGGCCAGGAACCCAGCCATGCTCAGTAAGACAGTGTCAGAAGACCCAATGGGCTAGGGAACAGAGGAGGGTGATGGAGATCAAGTCAGCAAAGGCACAGCACCTCTGCTTTCACAGCTTAGTAACCAATCAAGAAACAGCAAAAAGGCAGAGAAACTGAACAAATGGTGCCTCACAGGCTTGTCCTTCCTATCTTCCACTCTCATGTGGCTCCTGCTCATGATTCGCTGCTCTACTTCTAGTCTTAGCTCAAACAACGCTCCTCAGAGATGCTTCCTTTAGCATCGCCCAGGCTAAATTCAGAGCCTGGTTACCAGCTTCCAGCTTTCCAGCACTTGTCATAGTAGTGGCTGCATGCAGGGTCCTGATGGCTTAGCACCCATGTCTCCACTGTATTCTAAGCACCATAAGGACAAGGACAGGGACTGGCTCACTCTCCATTTTCCCTCAGCACCTAAGACACTGCATGGCACCCAGTAGGTACTCAGTAAATACGTGTTTCCTGAATAAATGGATGAGTGGATGAAGGCCATTGGTGTTCAAGGAGTGCACACAGAAGAGCTCAGCAAATACCTGCAAAACAAACCCACCCCAAGCCGTGAACAGACAAACAGCATTTCCCAGGCTGAGAGGCTGTTCTGCAGCTCTGGGTCTGAGCCTCTGAACTGGCAGAGCTTTTCCTATTACCCCACTACTTAAGATGAGACAGTGATTATGAGAGACCATTCCTATTGCATTCACACTTCACAGAACGTCCTATCCAATAAAAGCCCTTAAAGGTCATTGCTTTAAATCTCCTCAAACCACAGAGAGAAAACCCTAACCCCACAGAGGTTAAATACCCTCCCCCCAAAAAAGTAACTTAGCCCCAAAAACCAGTGTGCAGGAGTCAGGACTAATGCCTCGGTCTCTCGTCCTCCAACCACTAATCTTCCCACGCTACTTCTGAATCTGAGGCAATTCCCTAAACTGAAAGGCCTTTAAGCCTGATAATACTCAAATCAGGAAAATTAAGGGGGAAAAACAGACAAGAAGAATAAAGACAGAAAGAGGCAACTTACCCAGGATGCAAGGGCACAAAGTAATCCTGAGCCATACATTCAAGAGCCCCCTCTACAGGTATGCTGCCATCATCCTGTTGTCTACACACAGACACACACAGAAACACAAACACACACACACACAATGTTCTATTTATACAGGGAAGATGGGCAGGACCAACCAGGAAATAAATTAATTCAATATTTCACTTGAAAAATGTCATTAAGTCCCTCCCATAACAGAGCAACAGTTACTAAGGAAATAGAGCACACCAAACGGAAAAACACCCCCACAGGAAGAGACATTTTTTTAAAATATGAACACTCACAAAACCTAACCAAATAAGTTGTGGAATATGTTTGCTTTACCACTTATTCATGAAAATGTATATGAAACACAGTCCTCCTAAGAATCATTGGGGAATGAAAACTTAACTGCATTCAACAGATCACAGCTTTCATAAAAGTACACTGCAAAAATAGACATACGCAATTCAGGAAACATTAGGGTCACACACTGGGCACAGAGGCCAAAACCCAACAGAGAAGTGAAACAACCCTTTTTCAAAATCTAGTCACATTAAAAAAAAATTGTAGTGCATAAAGAATAAACACTGCAGTTTCATTTTTTATTTCCTCTCACTGTGGACAGACTGCTTCGCTGGCCAAGTGTCGGTTACCTAGGTAATGGCTAGACTGAGCAGCCGTATGGGCTCCGGGCTGCAGAGACTCTGGGAGCTGAGGCCCCATGCCTGTGTCTGACGACCCGTCACTGTTCTACCCCTCGGAGAAGTCCCAAGGAGAAAAGAACACTGAGAGATGAAGAGATGCTTCTACCTTGACAAACTGAGGCACTGTTGTAAAATTTAAAACATAAAAATTAATACATTGAGTTGTACTGCACTGCTTACTGAAAGAAATCTCAACTACTGGATGGTTCATTTAAGCTCAAAGTGGCAGTGGACTTTGAGTGAGACAGATGTGAGAAAAAGTGGCAAAAAGAAACCTGAGGATCTATTTCCAACTCAAGTTTGAAACAGGTGTCACCCTGGGAGAGAGATACCACACTTCTGCACACAAGCTCCTCTGCCTCAGGAACAGACAGTACAGACCTTGGCAAGTGCCCATCAGTCTCAAGATTTCCTAACAGCAAAAAAGGAGGCCCTTAGAAAAAACACGGCCCCTGCCCCAACAGCAGCTGTGAGACAGAGAGGAGCACCAGACAAGGTGTCCCTCCACTGGTTCTGGGCCCACTTACAGGACATGGTCAAGTCCCTCAGCCTGTCAGGCTCCTATTTCCTCATTTGTCAAGTGAGAAGGTGAAACTCAAGGTCCTTTCTGATCTGAGTATGCCCTTGTGGCCACGTCTCTGGTCAAGGGACAGGACAAACATACAGGAAAAAGACACAGCAAACAAGGCAGAAGATCTGCACATAAATGCAAGTCTGAGAACAAGTCAGAGAAACAGGATGCCTGCAACCGGAGGAAGATGAGTTGGGGTGTTACAGATTCTTTATGCTACTTTTAATTTCTGTGATTCAGGGGTGTAAAACAATTCATAGCTTCAATGGTCTCTGGTTACTTAGTCACCATTTCAGGAAGCAAGTCCAAAATCTAAAACACTCATTTCAAATACACACAGGCTGTGTACAAGAAAGAGTGGCAGTTATATTAGAACATCTTTTAAAATGTCACCTTGGCAGTCCGGCCTTGTGGCCAAGTGGTGAAGTTCGCATATTCCACTTTGGCGGCCCAGGGTTTCCCCAGTTTGGATCCCGGGCGTGGACCTAGCACTGCTC